TTAATTTTAGGGATTGCTTTTTATTTTCCTTTATGATTAAATTTTGTTTTTTGAATATGTAAAACATATAGCTGGTTCAAAAGTTAATACACCTGGAGCAGTCTCACTTTTGTCCTCTGCAGTCTTAAGGTACCACTTGAGTAAGCCAAGATATCAGGTTGTACCAAAGCAAGTGAAGCTAAGTGTGGTCACTTGGTTGAGATGGTGACCACCAAATCTTTCCATTGTTAAGGTGTGTTTTCCCTTTTGCAATTAGCAGGTACTCTGTGGGGTAATACTCTGGCACTGTGCAAATATCCTATTTCCCAACAGTCTTTCACATAATAGTTTTAGTACAGATTGATATTTCTTGCCGAAATGAATTATTTCACTATGGATTACAAAATGGCAGTTTTCTAATTCCTTTTACATTTATTTAATAGCCAGTATTGTTATGGAAAGAAGAGTTTTTCCTCATTAATTGGAGATAAATTTTAGTTAATCTTAAAATGGGGCCAGGGGCTTAATTCTTTCTCTTTAATTATAGTAAGAAGTTGGTGCCATTAATCGCCTTCAATTCTGGTGTCAGGTGCATTCTTTTTAGTATCATCTGACATGTGGACTTTAATTGATGTGTTTTACAGTCATAATTCTTTGTGTTGCTCAAATTTCCCATATTTGGCCAGTGGTAGCCCCTTAAATTTGGCCCCTACATTCTGTTAACACTCTTCACTTTGCTCTAGTTTGGAGTCCTTCCTTGCTTCCACCACAATATGTCCCAGGCTCCCCTTATGTATTCTCTGGCCCACATTGAAATCAGCCAGTTCTCCAGGGAGCCCTTGTTCGTTTTAGTGGGGTTGTTAGTTAAAGACCCTCTGGTATAACAATTTATTATAAGATAAGGTATCAGTTGATGAAACTAGAAGTTATATTTTTAAAAAGTATTCAAGCTCATGTTGTTTATGATTCAAATTTATCATTAGGGTTTTCCTTATATTTTGTCACACTGACTTTAAAAAAAAAATTAACGTATTTATTTGCTATGCATAACATTGTTTCAGTATTACAATACCAGTATTACTACTAACAGTAAAAATACTGAGTAATATTTAAGATTTCTTTACAGTTTTTCTTTTTGGTCCTTAGAATATATTCTAAGGGTATACAGTCAGATTACTGTCTTCAAAACTTCCTAGTAATGATTATTTTTTCCATGTGGTTTTGTTACCTAGCTTCATACATAGTTAAGTCTTAGTTTTTTTAAATTTTTTTATTTTAGGGGTTGCTTTATTTTCCTTTATGATTAAATTTTATTTTTTGAGTACGTAAAATATTTACAAAAGTTAAAACAACTGAAAAAGGTATACTCATGGAAGTCCTCCTTCCATCTCTATCTCATCTAACCTGTATCCCTCCCTGTATAGGTAACTATTTTTATTAGTTTCTGATTTAGCCTTCTAGTGTTTCCTTTTGCCAAAATAAGCAAACATATACATAGTGTTATTTTTCATTTTTCTTCACAAAAGTTGGCATAAAATACATATTCTTCTATGCCTTTGATTTTTCACTTAATAGTGTATCTTGGAGACTACTTCCTATTAGTAAGAAAAGATTTTTTTTTCTTTCTTTTTTTTAAGGTAGGGTCTCTTTTGCCCAGGCTGGAGTGCAATAGTGTGATCCTGGTTCACTGCAGCCTCCACCTCCCAGGCTCAAGCAATCCTCCCACCTCAGCCTCCCAAGTAGCTGGGACTACAGGTGCGCTCCACCATGCCTGGCTAATTTTTTAATTTTTTGTAGAGGCAAGTTCTAACTATGTTGCTCAGGTGGGTCTTGAACTCCTAGACTCAGCCCATCTTCCTGCCTCGGCCTCCCAAAGGACTGAGATTACAGGCATGAGCCACCATGCCTGGCTTCCTTTGTTTTTGATGATGACATAGTCCTCAGCTGTGTGAATATATCATGATTTACCCAACAGATGTCTTATTGATGGGCATTTGGGTTGTTTCCAATCTTTTGCTATTTCAAATACTACTACTATTAAGATTAGGAAGATAATATGTGCATAGTTATTTGTAACAGTATGGTATAACTACTTGGAGTAGTTTTAATGCACATTATTCCTGTCAGTAACGTTGAGGATCTTTTCATATATTTAAGAACTATTTGCATTTCTTTTTTTCTGGGTAGTGTTGTATCGTTTGCCCTTTTTTCTATCAACATCTTTGTCTTTTTCTTCTCAGCTTTTTGAATGCTTGTATTTTGTAATGAGAAATTAGTCCTCTCTGAGATAATTTGCAAATTCAGTTTGTCATTTGTTTTTTGATTTAACTTATGGCATTTCTTTTTCTCTTATTTTAAAAAAAGCGTATTTTGACTGGGCATGGTAGCTCACACATCTAATCCTAGCTCTTTAGGAGGATGAGGCAGGTGGATCACTTAAGGTTAGGCGTTTGAGACCAGCCTGGCAAACGTGGCGAAACACTGTCTTTAGTAAAAATACAAAAAAATCATCCAGGCGTGGTAGTGCATGCCTGTAGTCCCAGCTACTTGGGAGGCTGAGGCACAAGCATCTCTTGAGCCTGGGAGGTGGAGGTTGCAGTGAGCTGAGATTGTGCCACTGCAGCTTGGGCAATGGAGCAAGACCCTGCCTAAAAAAAAAAAAAGTTATTTTTATATAGTCCCATTTCATAGTTAGAAGGACATTTTCTATTCCCAGGATATAAACAAGTTCACTCATGTTTTCTTTTAGTATTTATATGATTATTTGTTATTTTTGCTTGCTATGTGGAAACTTTTGAACATATAGAAAAGTTGAGAGATGAGAATGAATTATCTGGTATCTCTTATTCAGTATCAATAGTTGTCAATTCATGGACACTGACCCTGATACTCATTTTTGCTCTTGGCTTTATCTTGTAGCCCCTAAGATTTCTGCTGGTACCAGTTGTATAAAATGGGAGGAACAAACTTCAGAACAAATATTCAGATTTTACCGTGCCATTGGAAATATCGTAAGTTGAAAAGTCAGGTTGCAGTTCTACCTAATTGGCTTTCTATGTGTGTAATTTGCTTTCTAAATATTTTTATTTAGGAATAATCCCAAATAAAAGGATCCCAAGTAAAAGGTTGATCTTATGAACAAAACCTAGGAAACCTGAAATTTATTCTTAAAGTATTCTTTAAACTGTTTAAAGTGTTTATAGAGACCTTAGAATTCACAAAGCACTTTTAAATATATGTACATCGCAGTTTCACATAACCAACTTTTACTATCCTACTTCATAGGCGAGGAGAAAGAAAATGATATTACTAACAGGGATGTCCAGTCACTAAAAAATGAATTTAAATCTTCTAACTCCTAATCCACTGCTTTTTCCAGTATGTCTTTCTGCCTTTGGCCATTTTTTTACAATTGAATTGTTAAATCATTGATTTCTACATATGGCACATCAAGTGTAGTAATATAACAGTTTGTTAAAATGTCTGAGTGAAATTCCCAGTTCATTGATAAATTTGTGGGGTGTTTTTCTTTCATTTCAATAGCTACTTGTGTGTTATTTCAACACTGGGCTTACCGTATGTGTGTGTTTGTGTGTTTTGTTTTATTTTTTGAGACAGGATCTGGCTCTGTCTCCCAGGCAATCTTGACCCACTTCGACCTCTGCCTCCCAGGCTCAAATGAGCCTCCTGTGACAGCCCCTGAATAGCTGCAGCCACATCCACACACTACCACACCTGGGTAATTTTTGTATTTTTTTGTAGAGATGAGGTTTTTGCCGTGTTGTCTAGGCTGGTCTCAGACTCCTGACCTCAAGTGATCCACTCTCCTCAGCCTCCCAAAGTGCTGGGATTACAGGCATGAGCCACTGTGCCTGGTCAAGTGTGTGGGTTTTTTTTTTTTTTTTTTTTTAAAGATGGGGTTTCACCCTGATGGCCAGGCTGGT